GCCGCCGCCGCCGCCGCCGCCGCCACCACCATCACCACCAAGAAGACCTCAACGAGGACGGGCCTCCTTCAGCGAAAAGATAACTTCGTCAAGTCTGCGCTCTTGTACGCTGTTTCTAATCGACAACTACTAAGAAGCCGTAATGCGGAAATGACGGACGTTTTATTTTGCTATGGGGCTCTGGCTGGTTGATAATGGGAAATAAACCACAAATTTAAATCACGGTCTCGTTTCGCCGGTAATGCAGTTTTATAGCAAAAAACCATGCTTTTTGTTTTAACTATTAAAAGGACTTGGAAATCTGGTCAAGCAACATTAATCTACAAAATTCGTTGAGGAAGTAAATGATGGTAGTCAAAGTACTAGAGTTGTGAGAGAACTAGCCACATCCTCCTCTCTCTCCTTGTTGAAGTAGGTTCTGATAGTATATTCTGATTCCTATAGCTCCTTTGTCTGCATAAGGACGCGCTTTTATGCCACTTGCACCCGAAAGTGCCGCTAAAGGAGCCTCGACTGGGCTGAGGAGGGTGCATAATGTCCCTGCCTTGTCTGAGCTGCGCGGCGTTTGGAATTCGACCGGAAATGTAGGGGAATAACTTGCAATTGCGGAAAATCGATAGATCCCTTCACAACGCACTGTCTTTGCACTTTTCAACCGTACTATGAAGTCCGATCAATAAAGCAGCAGCCATTAACGTGACTGCAAGCTGTAGTTTGTAGAGAGAATCATTCGCTGGACGTTAGGTTAGTTTGGATTAACTTTTCCTGTTTCGATTATAGGGACAGTTATTATCGATAGGTCTCGTATGTGTGTAACAGACCAGAGAACAGTTCACGCTACAACTGATAGATCAGTGAGACTGTAAACAGGGGAAGTCAGGTCCGCGTTATTCCTAGGATGGGTGTTTAACGGTTCAACTTTACGCAGTTATCTGCTGAAGTAGACGGTGAAAGTCATTTCTGGCCTAAATGCTAGCACAAATCAGCCGGAGATCCATGACAAAACGGGACACCTACTTTCCTTCCCGCGGTCAGGCCAGATTGACGACCGCCATTTCCAAATGACAGTTTTTTGCACCTGGTGACCAGAAACAACCTGGAAAAGCGTAACCATTGTGACGTTACCTTTTCGTTATGGGAAGTCTGTCTTTGGTCGGCGGCGAAGGTTGTCTCTGGTTAGAAAGTTTATGTTGATGCCGGCAAATAAGCCAGAAATGTCCATTTTAGTCTTTTTCGTCCTCACAGGCAATGCGTCTCGACAGTAGAAGTATTTGCAAGTCCTACCCTTTTATGTTGACAGTGGAAAACCCTGCTTCAACAGGATTTCAGTAGTAGATATGTCTGTGGTGGGAGATAAAGCACTAGACTCTTCGATGAGTGAGCAAAATTGCTCCCTTCTCAAAGGTTAATTTTATCTGCGCTAATCAACTGCTAACTCTGAGGCATACTGCTTTCCGCAGAGAGGGGGCGTACCAAGCAGTACAAGGGAAACCGGGGTTGTCATTTCCGGTTTGTTAGCCGTCTCTAGCCAACCATCCCCAAACCCGGGTCTTGCCACACCTGAATGTCGAAACAGCATTTTTTGGCCATCCAATGTTATTAAGTCCAACGGTCTAATCACTGAGCCAGGGGTCATTTGATCTGTCGGTTGCGATCGGGAATATTAACTTACGTCTAGTTACGTCCAGCGACCGGGTCACGGGACATATTCGTCCTGTTGTGTCTTTAGGCTCTAGATGGGATCTCGGGGCAT